TATTAGATGTTTATATCAAATCTGATCCATCCAATTGATATTGGATTGGATTATCAGTTTTGATAATGTAAAAAGACAATAATGAAAGAAAGATTCATTACGAATCACAAGAGAAATTTCTCTCTGTTTTTTTTATTATTTTTGTTATGGTAATGCAATGCAAAAGAGGTCTCAAAAACCAGGTTGTTTCTGATGATGAAAATGATCTACTCAAACATATTAAGACGTAATTGTAAAATATAAATGAAATACTAGAGAAAGCTGTTATGATTATATAATATATTAAACATAACTCCATTAAATGATTTAAAATATTCATAAAACTAACTATATTGGATTGGATTGGATTCTCATAAGCAAATTCGTCATTCGATCCAAGCACGTCAGTTTTGAATATTATAGATCCAATCCAATCAAATCCTCCAAATCATCGAAATCGATAGAAATGGAATTGAATTGGATTAGTCGGTTTAAGTAGATTGGATTAAATCTTATACACCCCTACACTAAAGAATTGGGCGCGTCTTTGTTTGAGTCGAAATTTTGTCGTTTGAGTTTGAGTTTACCAAAAATGGGGCTTTGTTACGGTTGCATCTAAATATTGATGGGTCGTTTAGCTTTTTTTGGCGGGGATCAAAAGTCGTTTAGGCTTTGTTTAAACGGAATTGTGCTTGGGGCTTTTGGAAACATTCACTTTGTAAAATTGTAAAGTATCTTGAGATTAATTATAAGACATTACCAATAAACAAATAAATCATTCCACCAAAAGAAAGAAAGAAAAAAAAAGTAACGAAATAAACTATAATTATTTTCAAATTGAAGAAAAGGAAAAATAAAACACCCTTTTCTTTTATTTTTTGGTAAATTGGGGGTGTTGTGCTGTATTCATCATAAATTTATAATTACAGAGTTGACTAATAACAGTAAGTAAATATCTCTAGAGCAAATACAGTGGTCTGCATGTAGGAAAGAATATGAGATAGCATCCTTGATATCTGTTGATGTAGGAGATGACTGACTTCGTGGTGTTCTTTTTATCCCGGGGACTTCTCTCTTCATATAGCAATGACAAAAATTAGTGTTGCCGGAGAGAGAGAGAAAAAAAAAGAGCCAACTAGCCAGAAGAGAGAAGAAGAAAAAAATCACCAGAAGACAAGAGAAAGAAGAAAACTGGCAGAGAGAAAGAAGAAAAAAAGAAAGAGAGAAGGAAATGAAAGAAAAATAAAGGATAAAAAAAGACACAGGAGAGTGGAGAGAGCGAAGAGTGAAGTCAGGAAGAGGAAGAATGGATATGAACCGTTCAAATCAATCGCACGGTCAAAAATTCAATTCCGTAACTGTGGGACTTTATAATGGAGAAGCGCCCCCTACAATGTTAGATATATATAAATATCAAAAGAAACAATATCAGCATGCAGCGCAGTGGGAATTTCTGGAATTGTTTTCTAAAAGTGGGGTAAGGGTTCGACTCCCCTGCCGCCCAGCAATCAATTCCTCTAATTTTTTCCAGATTTATTTTCATGTAAAACTAAAAAAATTGCTGCCTAGAGTGGCAATTCTGTCGCTGGCCTCCTCACGCGGCGGTGGCAGCTGAACCGAGAAAGGAGTTGATGCACAAGAGGAACCAGTTTGGGGGCGAAAGCCAGAGTGAGCAGCAAGAAGCAGAGAAGCAGAGGCAGCCAGGGCCAGGAGGATGGTGGAGACAAGAGAAGGCCTAAGACTGAAGCAAGTGAGACTGAGCCAGACGCAAAGGACCAATTGCGAGCATGTGGAGTGGCCCTGACAGTGACACTGAGACTCTGGGGAAGCAGCTCGAGGCTGAAGGCCAAGGAATAGGTAACGACGCTACACAGCATAAGCAGCATGAGTATAGTGTTGGTTTGGAAGAGATGTTGGTCTGGAAATCGCACCTGGACCAGCGTCATGGCTGTGGGAATGGTGAAGCCAAAAATGCAGTGGTGGATCATAGGGTTTGTTTCATGTGCTGGAAAGTAGTTGATCAACAACTGCTGCTGATGATGATTCACGAAAATATTATTAGTATTACTCTGAAAATGAATCATCCTCACATGACCAAAATGATTCATTGCCATCTTTGGCTCCTCCCAATTGTTTTCGATTATTCAGGCGGAGGGGAAGGCAATTTATGCAAGAGTGCTCCATTGCATGGACCCCACAAAGTAGCCAGGGATGTGACTTCGGACTTTGGAAGTTCGACGGCAGGGATGGGACTACCAAATCGGTGGCAGAGTTTCACGAAAATATTCTTCCATTTAAAAAGTATCCTTAAAATATTAAATGGAAAGTTTCATTCAAAAAAAGAATAAAAGAGTATCCTTAAAATATTAAATGGAAAAATTCATTCAAAAAAAGAATAAAAGATGGTCAACGTTCTTTTTTTGGACTAACCGGAACCCTTCATGTTCCTGTGCCCTGTGCTATCTTCTCATCACTTCTTGGAAGTCCATCGAGGTTCCCTGCTTCATATTCCTCGGCACACCAGGTTCTCTCTCTCTCACACACTCTCTCTTTCTCTCTCTCTCCTCCACTTTCTTTTTTTCTTTCCAACCCCTGATTTGATTAATATGTCTATGTTATCTTTCTGTGTCTATTTATTTTTTAAATGTTCAATATACTTTATTATTGTGATTGTGCGGTGATTGAGATTTTCCTAACTTTAGAGTTATTAGTGGTTATGCTATTAATTTTTTTGGGGGTTTCAGATAACTTTCATGCCTCCTCTGTTTGTTTTTTTAATTCCTTTTAAATTTTATTAGTGGTTATGCTATATGAAATACAAACCATGATTATTTGGTAAGTTTTTTATTTGGAGAATGGAATCTAAATGCCTAAAAGAAAAGTTAGAAACAAATAAAGAGGAAAAGTTATTCAAAAGTAACGAATTAAGAGAGGGAATGGAGGTTTGTAATGAAGTTGAGAGAGATTATTAATGCAACAAATAATATTCGACAACGATACTATTTATGTTCGAAGCAAGGGTTTTACTTTGGCCTAACATAGTGGAGTTTTTGGTGAACAGAGTTGAATACGTGTAAGGCGGCAACACAAAAGATCCGCTGCAAACTTGTCCACATTATCTGATATCTGAAAAGGAATGGCTTTGCCTTTGCCTTCGTCTCTCCCTCGGCTCTCACTCCTCCCTTCACTTCACCACCTCAACATTCACATTACCAATAAACAAATAAGTCATTCGACCAAAGGAAACAAAACAAAAAGAAAGTAACGAAATAAACTATAATTATTTTCAAATGGAAGAAAGGGGAAAACAAAACACCCTTTTTCTTTTCTTTTTTGGTAAATTGGGGGGTCCAAAAGCCCCAAAAACAGACTACTCAGGATGGTTAAACAAAACACCCTTTTCTTCTATTTTTTATATATAGTAGGACCCACGATTGCTGCTTCGAGTGGCAATTCTGTGGCTGGCCTCCTCACACGGGCGGAGGTAGGGAAACAAAGAAAGGAGTTCAGGCACAAGGGGCACCAGTTTGGGGACGAAAGCCAGACGAGGGAAGGCCCAAGAGTGACGCGAGTGAGAGTGAGCCAGATGCAATGGACCAATTGCGCACATGAGGGGTGGCCCTGCCATTGAGACTGAGGAGGAGCGGTTCGTGGCTGAAGGCCAAGGAATAGGCAATGATGCTTCACAGCATAAGCAGCATGAGTATAGGGTTTGGTTTGGAGGAGATGTTGGTCTGGAAATTGCACCTGGACCAGCGTCATGGCTGTGGGAATGGTGAAGCCAAAAATGCAGTGGTGGATCATAGGGTTGGATTGTTGTGCTGGAAAGTAGCTGTTCAACAAGTGCAGATGATGATTCATGAAAATATTATTAGTATTACTCTGAAAATGAACCATCCTCACATGACCAAAACGATTCATTGCCATCTTTGGCTCCTCCTCATTGCCAACTTTGGCTACTCTTTTCATTATAAATATTATGACTGACAGATTGTTGGGATAACCATACTTGATGCCAAGATTAGACACACCAAAGCCGAAAATGCTGTAAAATCTTATCCACAAAGCATAGGACTGTGTTCATTTAAATACTGTCCATGAGCCACTCTGCCTCGTGCTAAAAAATTCTAATCTTTAAATGCAGGGACAAAAGTGTGAATATTATCAGCTGAGAATATTTACAAAATTTCCAACAAGTGATGTCAAAATCCAATGAGATGCTTACAGAAAATCAACAATGGTACATATAGATAGCCAGGTTGTGCGAAACTAAAAAAGATATCAAAAGGTTGTGAATAATCTCATTTCATCAATTTGGACTACTTCTCATTTCCTAATTAAGTGGGAAAGTGTGTTTACAGATAAGAATTTACCTGCATGTGAATATTCATTACCTTCGGAGGCGCTAAGATATCAGGATGGGCATCATCAAGATGAAGAACACCCGCAGGTCGCCCAAGCTTCTCGTCGCCACCTAACACGAATGGGCACAGTGGATCCTGAAAGGGCATATAAAGGTTCTTCCAAAAAATCCTACAGGTAGCCGGTGTTTTGCATATACTAATTGGAATCAAAAGTCCAGGATCATTTTCCAGAATGGAGTTCAACCAATTATCTGCTAGGTTGATGGAAGAATCAAAATAACTCAAGACATCAGGACATTCATGCTGCCCACTGATGGCAACCGAGTTTTCATTTTTCTTTGACATCTTCAAAGTAATGCATCACAGTATCGTATACCACTCTGAGTTTGAATTTCAATATGATATTAAGTGTGCCCATATTTCTCTGATGGAATGTTTTGCCCAGTTTCAAAAATCCACGCACCAGGAAGAAAGCACAAAAAGTTGAGATTGCAGCTATAAAGGCTCACATACATATATTTGATGATAAAAGAAGTACTATGAGGATTCCTCATATATGGCAAAGGATCCCTGAAGTGTTCAAATCTGAGGCCTGAAAATGGCATCATACTGCAGGCAGGGTACTATACATCTAAGCATTATGAATTGTACCAGCTCAGCTTCAAACTACACTTCTAAAAAACAATGAGTTTCAAAGTATTTAAAAATTGCAAGCAATTGTGTCACACTGGTAAAGTTTTCAAGGTTATAAAGGGGATGTATCAAGATTTGGTGAATTCAGGTTAAAAACTTCAACTTTAGAAAATAACCTAGGCAAATGGCAAAAGGTGGTCTCAGAGTTATCAAGCTCGATGAGCATAATATTCATCTCTACCAAACAGAGAAGTACAAAAGTGGTGATATATAATCATAAGCCTGCAGCAAATAAGTTATTAAAAAGGAGAGATTCCTCCAGTTTTCAGTCAACTGGACATGACTATATATGCAACTTATTCTACCAACAGAACAAGGAGAGTTTTGGAAACAGAACAGCAGAATTGTAATAATTTTTCCACTGAAATCTTCTAAAATCGCTTTTTTCTTTTTCCCTAAGATCAATACTTGCAGTAGTTTTTTTCAATTGGAAGCTTCTAGAAATTATAACGTACATGTTCCATAACAAGCTTGACGGACTCAGTTATGACATTCATCAGTCTGTCATCTTCGACTCCATTTGAACAGAAACATCACCAATATCAGTTAGCACCCACGGAGCATCATTTAGTTCTTTCCCTGCATGCCAGAATCATGTTACAATGACTTCATGCACCATTTACATGAAATTTTGGAAAAATGAAAGAAAAAATCATCATCAGCAACAGCAAGTATTAGATATAATTGTTTGGTTTGAAAGTCCTAATCATGGCTGCATAAATGTTAAAAACAAAATCGAAGAGGCAGCGCTAATATGTGGTTAGCTATTTGCGTATGTTAACTTGTTAGGTATATCACAAGTAAACTGAATAATATAAACACAACGTAGAAACCATGAGATGATTTATTTGCATGGAGCCTTGCCTCTAATAGGGTTTTCTCCATATGTAATCCCTATTAGATTGGAAGTGAAATGCCTTATAAAGTAAAGAAACTAGTTTGAATCCCAATATTCTTACACTAAAGAACCCTGAATGGCAGAACATTTCAAGAACATTTCAAGAACCTTTTTTTAAATTGAGACGAAGAAGAACTTTCATTACATAAATATAGGGCACACCGGTAAATAAGGAGGGTTCTAGCAATAAACTATAATATTTTTCTCTCTCTCTTCATTTTTAACACGTTCATCTTTTTCTTCTTAAAATAAACTATAATATTATAGTCGACGTGATATTCTTGTTCTCTATAGCTGCTTAGAGTGGTAATACTGTTGTTGGCCTCCTCACGCGGCGGTGGTGGCTGCGGCGAAACAGAGAAAGGAGTTGATGCATAAGAGCCACCAGTTTGGGGGCGAAAACCAGCAGGGTGAGCAGGAAGAAGCACAAAAGGAGAGGCAGCCAGGGCCAGGAGGAGGGTGGAGACAAGAGAAGGCCCAAGAGTGAAGCGAGTGAGAGCGAGCCAGATGCAATGGACCAATTGCGAGCATGAGGAGTGGCCCTGACAGTGAGACCGAGGAGGAGAAGCTCGAGGCTGAAGGCCAAGGAATAGATAATGACACTAGACAGCATAAGCAGCATGAGTATAGGGTTGGTGTGGAAGAGATGTTGGTCTGGAAATCGCACCTGGACCAGGGTCATGGCGGTGGGAATGGTGAAGCCAAAAATGCAATGGTGGATCATATTCATAGGGATAGGGTTGGTTTGTTGTGCTGGAAAGTAGTTGATCAACAAGTGCAGCTGATGATGATGATGATTCACGAAAATATTATTAGTATTACTCTGAAAATGATTCATTGCCATGTTTGGCTTGGGGAGACTTGGACGACGAGGAGTAGGCGTTTTATAAAGGAAAAAGGATGTGGTATTTAAAACTTCTTGTACAGTATCAATCAAACTCAAAGCTCATTCGTTGCATTTAAAACTGCTGGGGAAAAAGCAAACATAACAATGACATGAGGTCTAATCCAAACAAAAGCAAATATGGCAATGAATGTTAGAAGATCTCACCCCAAGGAACAAGAATATTTGTCACAAAAAAACAAAATGTGAAGGTCTAAGGTCTTTGGTGTTGAGATCTTTGTTTGCAAACCTCCGCATTTAACTAGAGACAGCTGCAGTGTAGATCAAGACCGTTGGACAGTATGGATCGCACTCACTCCCACAGATAAATGGTGTGGATCTTCGTATGTAGAGTGATTGGGGAGGATGAAAAGCAGTGAATGAATCCCATATATTTTCAAATAAATAAATAAAATTTGAAAAAACATGAGATTGATGCATATTCTTCCTGGAAGCATAGATATAATCGGTACAAGTGACTTTTAAATGGATGATACCGGTGCAGTCACTTATTCAAGGGCTGAAATTGCACTTAAAAAATGAAGGATTGAGATTGAATGACCTGTAGACCTGTTCAGCCCTTTCTAATTAAAGATCACGTGAGTTACACGTGACTGAGGAAAACGAAAAAAACATTCCACGAACGCCAAGCGTGCCACGGAGCGTCTTCTAATTTGCTCGCGGCGAGGCAGAGGACGGGTCATACCCGTTCAGCCCAACCCAAATTCTACCACTATTCACTGTCTTCATCTCTTCAGTGTGGGATCTGCATTACCGTCGGCTTCACTTCTTCAGCTCTCTGAATGGAACCTCACCCACCGCCACATCGTCTTGCTCAATGTCGTTGCTTGGGATCTGCATTACCGTCGGCTTCACTTCTTTCATATACTTTTTATGCTTTTGGATGCATAGTTCTGTTTCTGATTGAAGCTTAATATGCTTTGGAAATTAGATTCTTTAAAGTGGGTTTTTCATGGGTATTCTGAAAGCAAAACCCAACAATCGCTGCTAACCTTTTTTTGAAAAAATTACAGAAATTGGTGGTATGTTTCTGTTATTGAGTCAAGTTTTGTTTTTGGTTTTTTCTAATAGGCAGCAGTTTCTGCGACGTCTCTCTTCTGCTCTGCAATCACCGCATTTCAGGTCTGTAATCTTGAATACTCCATGATTTTAATTAGCATTGGCAATTGGAAATTGGCTATGTTTTTCTTGTGCAGTCGTTTTTAGGAAGGTGAATTCCCAATGTGGTTTTTTTAAAGGCTTTCAAGAGACCAACTCAATCACTTGAAAAGCTGATGGATGTTATGAGGGAAGAGCTTCCTAACACAATGGTTGTTGTTCGTTTATCCGGGATGGAGCTCAGTGATCTTGGGTTGCCGTTACAATTTCAAAGCTCCTATTTCTTAATCTGTAAGTGTATGGTTCAAATGTGATGTTCTTCATTGGTATTGGTTGCTTTGATTGGCATTGGTTGCTGTGATTGTTGTAACTGCTATATATTGGTTGCTCTGGCTAACGATTCAGGAAAAGTGCAGTTAAGAAACAGGGTTTCCTTGATCTTTTAAAAGAATTTGCTTGCTAGAGAGTGGTAGAAAAACTTGCGAAGAAGAAGAAGAAGAAGAAGATGGAGCTACTGCTAGAGTTCTGGGTAATTTCTCTTTGGCTATTGGATTGACTTATCTTTCATTTACTGGGCAGCTTGGTTGGATTTTGGATGCAATTGTTTCCATTTGAGTACTCTCTTTCATTTAGCAACTGATTTGGGGTTCTTCTCACAAATCTTAGTTCCTTTACATTTCTGGGAAAAAAAAAAACTGGTTGTTTTATACTATTTTTGTGTCTAATATAATCTTTTTTTTTTTGACTCTGACATCAGCATGTAGGATTATATCTCTAATGAAATTGATGCCTTTTCATATCCAGCTCCTTGCAGTGCTTGTACCAATTGTTGGTGTGGGTGCTTTTCTGTGGTGGGCAAGGCAGGATATGATTCAAGACAGTGTAAGGCTACTTCTATTTTTTCTCTTGCTCACTTCTTAAAGCTCATAGTTTTCTTCAACTATGGTATTAAACATCTATGGTTGCCTAGTGAAAACACAACTCAAGTTGTTGAGTGCTTTAATTTCCATGCCCTCAATTTGGTCATTCCCTCTACGAGTTTGGCACCTACAAGTGACTAGTAAAACCTTTTTAATTATTTATGTCAGCTTCAATCTACATGATGTGGACAGTTAATTTATCAATCTACAGATCTTCTAGTGGATGGTGTATGGAAACGCTCTATGATTTTCTTTTATTTGGAGTTGACAATTAAGTAATGTTTGCGTGCTCTTGATTTCAAAAAACTGTATCACAAGTGCTTTATAAACAGATAGTCCGGATTGGTGTTGGATAGTTTCCATGGATGGGCATGTAGAAATCTATTGTGTTATAATGAGTTCATTCTTTCTCATGTGAGATGTATCAGATAAATGCATGATATGTGTAGGATGTTTGAAAAAGGTTTGAGTATGCAAGTGATACTCTTTCATGTAACAATTCACAAACGCTTCATCCACATCTTGTAATCAAGTAATTTCGGAGTAACATCCTGAGGGTGATTTTCAATTGTGAAGGTTTGTTTATTTCTTACTCTGATGTCTTCTGCCTTTAATGAACAACAACCATTGTTCCCATAAAGTGCCATATAGTAAGGATGGATTTCCTGATTTAAAAGCAACAACTATAGATTGAGTAGGTTCCTTTTGCAGGTTTGAGTTTTTTCTATTTGTTTTTTTCCTTTCGCAGGTTCTTTATGGTCTTTTTTATACTCATTTTGAAGGTTTTCTATGGAAAATTTGTTACCTTTTCTTTCACCTAATTTTATTTGTATATATTTTTTGTTTATAATCTTAGCTTTCTTTCTTTGTCATTTTGATTTATTTACATGGATGATGGAGGAAGGCTTGGATTAGGAGTACTAGATGTAGGTCTTGTTAGGCTTCTTTATGTATTACTGTTTGGAGAGGATTGTACTACTTTCTCTTCATGCATTACGGAAGTGCTTAGAGATTCATTTGACAATAAGATGTATGTTATGCCTAGTATTCTTCTTCTTTTCATTTAATTTTTTTTATTCCATTTCTTTCTAAAATTTCTGGATTTAGAAACGAAGGAATTTAAGGATTTAGTACCCCAAATGCGCGAAGGATTTATTCCATTTATTTCATTAATCTAGAAAATCACTTCTTGTGACAGGTAATCTCGTAGAAATTGTGGTAGCATTGAGTTAACCACGATGGTGTATTACTCTAAAACTATCGTTTTTAGCACGTAATTGTAAGTTATGTAATGCAATTGCACTTTCTGCCAAGGAATAGGTAATGACACTAGACAGCATAAGCAGCATGAGTATAGGGTTGGTGTGGAAGAGATGTTGGTCTGGAAATCGTACCTGGACCAGCGTCATGGTTGTGGGAATGGTGAAGCCGAAAACGCAATGGTGGATCATAAGGTTGATTTGTTGTGCTGGAAAGTAGTTGATCAACAACTGCTGATGATTCACGAACTGAAAAGTAATCATCCTCGCATAAGAAAAATGATTCATTGCCATGTTTGGCTCCTCCCAACTGTGTTGGAGTCGGGCAGAGAAATTTTTCTCTGGGTGGGTGTGGCAAGATTCAAAGCGCAGAGGGCGCTATTTAACATTACATTACCGTCCTGGCTGTTGACCCCACCCCTATACTTGTTAACCCATGTTGCCGACACAAAATTACGATTTCTGCCACTGGATTACCATGATTTTGTTTTGGCTGTTGAACACCCTACCCCTGTACTTGTTAACCCATGTCGCCGCTACAAAATTACGATTAACCCATACTCGTTCACCCATGGCGCTGCAACAAAATTACGATTTCTGTCACTGGCGAAGTGGGATCTATCAAAATTGGGTGAATTCAGGTTTAAAAATTCAACTTTTGAAAATAACCTAGTCAAATGGCAAAGGTGGTCTCAGAGTTATCAAGTTAGCTGAGCATAATATTCATCTCTACCAAAACAGAGAAGTACCAAAAAAAGGCCAACTAGCCAGAAGAGAGAAGAAGAAAAAAAATCACCAGATGACAAGAGAGAAGAAAACTGGCGGAGATAAAGAAGAAAAAAAGAAAGAGAGAAGGAAAGGGAGAGAGAAGAGAGAAGGAAAGGAAAGAAAAAAGAAAGAGGAGAGAGGAGAGAGAAGAGTGAACTCAGGAAGAGGAAGAGCTCACGTAGATATTTATAAAAATACTCAATCTTAGACATGTATTTATAAAAATACCAAAGCACTATTTAAACATAGAAACATACCCAAAATGGGTTTTGGGGATGTGTGTAATGATGGATCTTGGGTATGTTTATAAATGGGTTTTGAGTGTGTGGAATGATGAGTTTTGGGTATGTTTATAAAGTGTTTTGGGTGTTGGGTATTTTTATAATTTCAGCCCCCATTTTGAGTATTTTAGTGAAACTCCCAAGAATATATGTGAACCGTTCAAATCAATGCACGGTTAAAAATTCAATTCCGTAACGAATCCACATTGTGGGACTTCGCAATGGAGAAGCGAAAAGGATAAATTCATCCAGTTTTCGGTCAACTATAAGTGCAACTTATTCTACCAACAGAACAGCAGAATGGTAATAGTTTTTCCACAGAAATCTTCTAAAACTGCTTTTTTCTTTTTCCCTAAGATCAATACTTGCAGTAGTTGTATGACCAAAAACAAAAAAAACTTGCAGTTGTTGTTTCAATTGGAAGCTTATAGAAATTATAACCAACATGTTCCATCACAAGCTTGACAGGCTCACTTATGAAATGCCTTATAAAGAAACTAGTTTGAAACCCGTACTCTTCTCGTCTCCGCACACCCGTACCAAATAAAATTAACACAATTCAAATTAACTAAAGTAAACTAACATGAAAGTTAAAGAAGTAATATAAGGGCCAACGGGGTATAACCAAGTCGAAAGGAGCCTTGACTAGCAAATGTTCGAATCCTCACGACATCATAGTTGTGTGTGAGAGAGAAATCTCATTCTCCTGTAGTTTAGGCTATCGCTTGTACTAAAAAAACCTAATATAAGGGAATAAAGAAGGGGAAGCATCTTGTGGGCAATAAGAGTGACCAGATTAGGTGATATATTCCTGAAAGTTTTATTTGGGCTAGGGCTGGTATTTAGACCTATAACCTGGCCAAATCGGCCGAACCAGATTGATGGTCTAATTTGGTTTGGTTTGTTTAAAATTTTTGTTATATAATCGGTGTGAAACCGACTGAACCAGTCATTTTGGTCCCCTTAATAAGGAGGGTTCTAGCCATATTGAGAAATACATAACAATAAATAAACTATAATATTTTTCTTCTCTCTTCTTTTATAACACTTTCATCTTCTTCCCTTTTCCTTTTTTTTTTATATGAGCAAAAGTTTAAAAAGATATGACGTTGGAGCACAACATGGATTTTTGGCAGGACGTGATAACTATAATGTCCAGATCAGCTGGGTTTGTTAGAAGAGCACATGGATGGCACGTGCTCTAAGTCAGATTTGTTAAATAAGTTGTTAGTCGGTTACTTAGCTTATGAGATTATCATTAGCTATAAAGGTTGCACTGTTACATTGTAATCACTAAGAAATCAATATACAATTCTCAGTTTCAATAATCTCTGCTTTCTTCTTTACTCTTCTGCTTCCTTATTCATCCTTTTTCATTCTTCTTGTCTACTGTTATCAGGACGAGGTGTGAGAGGGGGTTTTGCCTTGCGTGGGGATAGGTGGTTTGGGAGCAACCCCTTGACCTCTCAATAGCTCGCGTTAAACAATTCTCATTATTCTTATTCAATCATATCTCACTTCTTAAATAGATGTGCAACTTACAAGTGGGAAGCAATAAAAGGGTGAAGCAATTTCCCAATAACAATCCTAGCATAATTAAATACTAACTAAATAATAATTATCAAGAGATTACTTAGACTAGGTCACATTAAAAAATACACACACACACACAAAAAAAAAACGGGTGGTATTTCAAACAGGTCTAATTTGGGTATTGTTCAATTTGTTAAAGATTTTGAGATGTTGGATTGGATTTATCCTAGGGCTTAGGTGGAGTTCGTTGATGAACGGAGTTGAATACGACGTCGTTGTCAACCAAAAAAAGTAACGAAATAAACTAATAGAAGTACGAAAGGGAATTCAAAGACTTTATTAGTGCATAGAAAGCAAAAAACATACATTCCACCTTTCCCACCACTTTTGTAACTTTCTCCAACTAATGAATTTGCAGGAGCCTTTATTTTTGAACTTATTGTTTTGTTTTATACAAATGTAAGCATTGAGTTATCTGAAACAACTAATTAGATGCAAGGAAAGTGACTAAAACAGTAAATCCGTAAATTAAAAAATTTATATATAACGCGACCCACTATTGACTTCTTATGTATAGTGATCGTAGATCATGCTACCATTACATTGACCATAACTTAAGCACACTGGTGGTGGGTGAAGGGGGTTTTTACTTTTGGGCAGGAAGAAGGGGTTTTCCCTTCCTGGAAGTTACGGCATTTAGCTGCATGAAGAGCTGTAATGAGTGACAAACAAAAACATGTATTGCTTGTCGTGACTCATGAAGACTTGTAACATGCTAGTTGGATTACAAGTGATAAGTTTTTTTGGTCAATAGAAACTTCAAGTGACAAGTGAGTCACTTTAAAAGAAGACAAACTTGAAAGAGATTGACCATAAGGACTATTTCTTTTTTGCTAAGGCACGAGGACTATGAAATATAGTTTTTTAGATATATACCCATTCCTACTATTAGATAATAATAAAATTTTATTATTTAAGTTAATTGTTGTTAACTAAACATTAAATATTTTTCAATTAAAAAAGGGGCAGAATTGTGGCATCGGATATGCGGTGACGAAATCAAAAAAATTAAAATCACAAAGACAAAATTTGATTCCGAGCCAAACTGCAATAACTAAAAATGTTATTAGCCCATATAAATATATCTTGTTGCATGGGAGTTTACGAGCACTTCCAAGTAAAATACCAAAAGGTCAACTCACCTACAATTTGGGCGTCTTCGTTTGAGTTTGAGTTTGCCAATAATTGGGCATTTGTTGCGGTTGCCTTTAAATCATTCGACCAAAAGCGGAGATCAAAAGTCGTTTAGGCTTTGTTTAAACAGAATCGTGCTATTATTTGGGCCTTTAGGAAACATTCACTTTGTAACTTGTAAAATTGTATTGTCTCTTGAGATTAATTATAAGACATTACTACTAGCGATAAACAAATAAATCATTCGACCAAACGAAACCCAAAAAAAAAAGTAACGAAATAAACTATAATTATTTTCAAATGGAAGAAAGGGGAAAACAAAACACCCTTTTATTTTCTTTTTGGGTTTTGAGGGGTCCCAAACCCCAAAATATATAGCGCGACCCACGATTGCTGCTTCGAGTGGCAATTCTGTGGCTGGCCTCCTAACGCGGCGGCAGTAGGGAAACAGAGAAAGGAGTTGAGGCACAAGAGGCACCAGTTTGGGGGCGAAAGCCAGCAGGGTGAGCAGCAAGAAGCACAAAGGGAGAGGCAGCTAGGGCCAGGAGGAGGGTGGAGAAAAGAGAAGGCCTAAGAGTGACGCGAGTGAGAGTGAGCCAGACGCAATGGACCAATTGCGCGCATGAGGAGTGGCCCTGGCATTGAGACTGAGAAGGCGCGGTTCGAGGCTGAAGGCCCAGGAATACGCAATGATGCTACACAACATAAGCAGCATGAGTATAAGGTTGGTTTGGAAGAGATGTTGGTCTGGAAATCGCACCTAGACCAGCGTCATGGCTGTGGGAATGGTGAAGCCAAAAATGCAATGGTGGATCATAGGGTTGGTTTGTTGGGCTGGAAAGTAGTTGATCAACAAGTGCAGATGATGATTCACGAAAATATTATTAGTATTACTCTGAAAATGAATCATCCTCACATGACCAAAACGATTCATTGCCATCTCTGGCTCCTCATTGCCAACTTTGGCTACTCTTTTCATTATAAATATTGTGAATGACAGATTGTTGGGATAACCATACTTGATACCAAGATTAGACACACCAAATCCGAAAATGCTTGTAAAATCTTATCCACAAAGCATAGGATTGTGTTCATTTGTATACTGTGTTAGCGAGAAATCCTAGCCCTATTAGGATATTTCCTTCTTATTCTATTAGGATTTTATTTATTTTCTTTTGTATAGATATTATGTAATTAGGATTCCACTTATTTTCCTAGTTTAACCCTACTAGGGTTTGTAACCTTGTATTATAAATACCTCCTTTCAGAGAATGGAATATATCAGAAAATATTCTACCATATTATTTGACTTGGTATCAGAGCCGACTTTCTGGTGACATGTGTGTGTTGTGCCCACCCGTGTTCTACTGTGTGCCCTAATTTCTTTAGGGTTCTTGTGCTTACGCCTTTGTCGTGTTCCGCTGTGTGCTCTGTCGTGTTCGTGCCTCTATTTCCTGTGCCTTTGCCGTGTTCCGTTGTGTGCATCTGCCTTTACTGTGTTCGTGCCTCTACTGTCTTCGTGCATCTGCCTCTACTGTGTACCTCTACTGTCTTCGTACATCTGCCGGATTTGTGTCTGTGCTGTGTTCTGTTGTATACTTTGCGTGATTTGTTGGGTTTCTGCTACAATCATGGGTGATAGTTCCATTGTTGGTGATGCTGCTGCTTCTGAGAATTTGCGTGTTTCTGACTCTATTCTAGGTACTGGCTCCAATACTTGGATAATTGACACTGGTGCTTCTGATCATATGACTTATGATGCTAAATTTTTTGATGAGTTGTCTAGTAACACCCGTAACGACTGGTCGCCTGAACAGTAACGACCGGTCGTTTCTGGGCAGATTCGTTTCTCTGTTTTTCCAGTTTCGACCTCTGTCCAGTGTTTTGCCTATAACTTTCCAACCGTTTATCCAAATTTCACGTTCTTTATACGGTTGGATTCAGCACAGAAAAACAAATAACACAGCGCGAACCAAAAGTCCAAAAAAGTTACGAAAATAAACAGAATTCAATAAAGAAAACACACACACAACACAA